CGGCTGAGGGGGTCCCTGCCGGTGCCCACGACTGCCTTCTACCCTAGCTGCCCCCTTGTCCTCCTTTCCTTGGCTGTCTGCGACCCCAGTCCTCTCTGCCCCAGTTGCGTCTCGCTGCCTCCCTTCCTCTCTCTAGACTCGCGGTCACTGGTCACTCTCTGCTTGCCCTTGCCCTAGCGGAGCATACAAGGTGCGATCCCCGGGGCTCTGGCTCCTGGCTCCTGCCGCCAGAGAGCAGCAAGAGCCTGGGATCTGTGGGTTCAGGGCTGGATGAGCAAACGCTGCTGCTAGACCGTCTGGATGTGTCTAACGCCCCTCCTCTTTTCTCTGGGGCGACTGGCCAGCCCAGGGTCTCTGGTGCGATGGTGGCATTGAGACAGTCCCGAAGGATGCTTGTGCTTGAGCTGAAGTTGGGCGTGACTGGCGTGGAACCAGATGGTGTGGCTATAGCCCCAGGACCCTGCCCACACTCTGAGTAATACCAACTTTGGCCCTGTTATTTTACTCTGCATCAGAGGTAGGAATAAATTTCCCTGTTGCTACTCAAAGAACTCGGACCTCCCTCTGGGCAGAGAAGGTCAAGTGCTGGAGGGTGGGAAAGGTTACCTAGGGTGGTTAAGTGGGAGGGAGCAGAGTAGTCCGCCTCCACTCTCCAGGCCCGGCCCTTATTGGCCTTTGGATCTGGAGCCTCCCTTCCTCACAAGTGAAAGGGGAGTAAAAATCACTTAGGGGAACCTGTGTTAGGGCTGCCCGCACTTCTCAGGTGAGTGGAGAATAGCAGAGCAAGAACTGATCGTGGAGAACAGAGGGCAGAGGTGACATGGCTCTGCTAGGAAGCAGGGACTAGGGAAGGAAAGGGGTCGGGAGGAGGAGCGCACACACGTGCTCCTGCACATGTGTTTTTGAAGGACCTTGCACAGGCTAGACAATCACTTTACTACCCAGTTACCTCCGCCAAGCATGTTCATGCTGCCTGCAGGAAGCTTCTAATTAGACCGGGACAATCAGAAATCTACCGTGATGCCTCTGAAGTCTGACTTCCTTTACCAGGGAGTTTGGTGAGGGAATGCTCTAGCCACTTTGGAAGAGCAAGTCCCTCTGGACAGTGTCTACTCACGTGCAAGACTAAAACATGTATTTTATGTGAGAGTCATTTTGGGTACAAAACCTTCTATCATTTGCTTGCAACCCAGATAAACCTTAGGGCTCATGTGGCCCAGTCTCAGGGAAGCACCCCCTTTAAAACAAAACAAACAAACAAAAGAACCAAAACCAAAACCAAAGCAAATGAACACAAAAAACCAACCAACCAAAAAAGAAAAACAAAAACAAAAAACAAACCAACAACCACGGATTGCTCTTCCAGAGGTTTTGAGTTCAATTCCTAGCGACCACATGGTGGCTTGGAACCATCTATAATGGGATCTGATGCCCTCTTCCGTTGTGCAGACCTACAAGAAGATAGAGCACATAAAAAAATCTTTTAAAAACCCAAACAACAAAACAAAACAAAAAAATCAGATATCTTGTCATGTTTCCTGGAATCACCTCCCACACTAACTACTTAGAGTCCCACTGTTATCACCACTGCAATAAGAGAAGAAACAGAGCCCAGTGCCACAGACTCAAGTGTGACAATCATATTTAGAGAGGCTAACACATTAGACCTGAAGGAGGCATTATTGTGGAAATGAAGATTGGAGTGAGAAGTGATCAGGGCCTGTTCTCAGGTAAAAATTGTGTAGAGAAGGCATAGAGTCATGAACTCAAGTAGGCAAAACCATCTGCAGGGCTGGCTGGACTTGTAGTAGGGAGTAAACTGAGGAAAGCATTTATGTTTCTAGTTATAGGAGCAGCACGGATGATGTTTCTGTATCCATAAGGAACCCAGCAAGTTGATTTTAGGATTGGGGATGGTGAGTTTAGTTTAGAACTCTTAATTTGAAGTGCCCATAAAAACTTAAGCAAAGATGTAGGTGTGAGTGGCATGGCTGGGTTGGTGTTGAGCTTTATTCCAGCCCCTTCACTGCTGTGACTTCCTTTCAGAGACAGAGAGTAGTCCTCTCTCTGCCCCTGTCAACTCCTTCCTGGATTTGAGTATCAGGTAAGCCAGTGCAGGAATTGACAACTATTGCCCTTCTTGTTCCTTTCACCAAAGCTCTAGAACCTCTGAAATTCTTTTTGCAGAACAAGGCTGAAGCTCTCCACTGCTTACCAGACAAAGGGTGGGCTCTGCCTTAGGGTTTCTATTGCTGTGAAGAGACACTATGACTATGGCAACTCTTACAAAAGAAAATGTTTAATTAGGGCTGGCTTAGTTTTAGAGGTTTAGTTTATTGTCTTCATGGTAGCATGCAGGCAGACATGACATAGTGCTGGAGGAGCTACGAGTTCTGCATTTTAACCTGCAGGCAGCAGGAGCAACTGTGTGCCACACTGGGAGTAGCTTGAGGATAGGATACCTCAAAGCCACCCCTACAGCGTCACACTTCCTCCATCAAAGCCACATCCACTCTAGCAAAGCCACACCTAATAGTGACACTCCCTATGGGCATCGTTTTCTTTCAAACCACCACAGGCTCTTATTTCCCTGCTATGACTCAAGCCACCCTTATCCTTCACCTAAGAGTGGCATTTGTTCATTGCAGTCTCACCTTCCTGTCACCCCTGATGGGGGAAGTGCTTTTGTGTATGTGTTTGTCTTATTGGATGATAAATAAAGTACTGTTTGGCCAATGAGGCAACAAGTTAGGCGGGACTAGGAGTCAAGGAGGATTCTGGGAAACAAGGTAAAGAAGTCATGATCCGCAGGAAGTGACATAGCAGAGAGACTCATATATAAACAAGGGCAAGAAGGCAGTGGGCCCCTTCCTCCAGAGTCACCATGTGATCCCGGGATGAGGACGCCAATGGAAGGCATCCTAAATAAGATAAGTCTTATAAAATATATAGATTTATGATAATTAAGACTGAGCTAACAGAGGAGAATTCTAGTCATTGGCCAAGCAGCATTTGTACCTAATAGAAGTCTCTGTGTATTATTTGGGGCCCTAATGCAGCGAGGGGAACTCAAGCGGGTGGTGGAAAAATTTACTGTAACACACCCCTAGTGCTCAGAGTGATTTCTGCTCTTCCAGAGAACCCAAGTTGGATTCCCAGAACCCACACCAAGTGGTGTGAGCACGTGGTCACCTATCATTTCACTTCCAGGGAATCTGATGTCTTTTCTGGTCTCCTCAGGCAACTGCACACACATGGTACATATAAACTCATGCAGGCATACACGTGGCATGCATACACTAATGCAGGCACCAATCAATCCTCAAAAATCTGACTTTCATTCATCATTTTCCCCTTACCTTGACTTGGCCTGTGGAAGTGAGGCCATAAATATGCTGGAGGATTTTCTGAAAGTGTCACGTGTGTGACCTTAGCACCTTGCTTGATCCTTGTTGCAGATGGTGGAATAAGAATGGGCAGGAGCAATGATAGCCTCCATTGTGGTGTGATGTGAACTTTTCTCTTCTCCCATCCTGCCAACCATTCATTAAACCCTACCAGTTAGAGTTAAGCCCTTGGGAGGCAAAGTGTGACATACATGCACAGGCTTCCTAGGGCAGTAATTTTGGTAGAAATTTCTGTCTGGGAAGCAAAAAAAAAATACTGTTATTTCCTTACTGTATTATCTCCAGCAGTTCTCTGGGACAGATAGCCTTCTGGGCAAATGAATTAGACTAGAGCAGAGTAAAGCAATGGGATTCTGGCTTCAAGGCAAGCCTTTTCAGAGACTGGCATAAATAAGTTTATTATGGGTGAGTTTTGGCTGGATTAGGGGCAAAATCCTAAGTCTGATCCTCTGGGCCTTCCTTCCAAGCCACCCCACAGGTTTTCAAAGCACTCTCATGAGTTCCAGGAGCCCCATGGGTAAAGTGCTAGTTCTGTGATCCCTGGAGAACCTGCTTTGTGATTCAGCAGAATGGTGCCTACTTTAGGAGGGAAGACTCTAAGTGCATGCAATGTGAGAAACACAGGTTTGTGTCTTTCTATATGTCAGGATTCAGATAACTAGTGAAATCACAAGCTATGTTAGCTTGATTGTGATTTGCCAAGTAATGCTAATTTTGCTTGATAACTGGTCATTGCCAGTCAATGGTGTTCTCTCTCTCTCTCTCTCTCTCTCTCTCTCTCT